TATATATATATATATACACACACACATACATACATACATACATATATATATACACACACACACCCATGTTCATCACAGCACTATTCAAAATAGCAAAAAGATAGAAACAACCTAAATGTCTATTAAAGGAGGAATAGCTAACAAACCATGGTACAAACATACAATGGAATATTATGTAATGTTAAATAATGATGAATGTGTGAAATATCTCACAACATGGGTGAACTCAGAGGACATTAAAAAACCAAACCCACTGCTGTGGAGTCGGATCCGACTCATAGTGACCCCTCCTTGGGTTTCCAAGGCGTTATCACTGCAGAAGTAGATTGCCTAACCTTCCTTCCGAGGAGTGGCTGGTGGATTTGAACTGTCAGCCTTCTGGTTAGCGGTCACATGCCTTAGGCACTACGCCACCAGAACTCCCTAGAGGACATTATGCTGGGTGAAATTAGTCAATCCTAAAAGAACAAATATTCTATGAGACCACTATTATAAATAGTCAAGAAAAGGGTTTCACAAAAAAGGAAATATTCTTTGACAGTTACCAGGGGTAAGTGTGAAGGGTGAGTAAAACGCTAATTAAAGGGTAGACACATACAAAAATAATAAATAATAAAATAATATTTTATTATACTTTAGTGATAATATACACAGCAAAATAAGTCACAATTCAACAATGTCACCACATAATGTTCAGTGACACAGGTTACAGTTAAAAAAAAAAAAAAGACTTTTTAAGACATTTTAATTCTAGAGTGTCAATAGAGAGTTATAAAACTTGATTTCCAAAAACCAAACCAGACCTCTCGCCATTGAGTCAATTCTGACCCACAGCAACCCTCACTGGATTTCCAAGGCTGTAAATCTCTATGGAAGTAGATTGCCTCATCCTCCTCCCATGGAGTTGCCAGTGGGTTTGAACCACTGACCTGGTTAGCAGCCAAACGTCTTATCCACTACACCACTAGAGATTACCCATGTACTATTTTATTCTATATAAAATCAATGTACATATGTTTGATTTTCTAAATCCATAAACAGATTTCTCAAATACAGAAGACGTTATTTCTTGACATTTAATAAGGCAAGTCCCTATATACAGATGATTTTTTAAAAAGGCTTATAAGAAGAGTGGTCATTTTAACAGCCTCCTGTGTAAGAGGTTACAATTTAATTTCTCAAATGCAAGTAATTATTAATGGAACAACAATTGTTAGGCTCTTTTGGAGATTTAAATGAAAATAAGTTTGTTGTTCCCCATCTGTAAAATAAGGAGGAAATATAATATCTACTGCATACAGTTGACAGGGGAATGAAATAAGATAATTCATTTTAACCATTAATTTGTGTTTAGCTGGAGACATGTTATCTCAATGAATGATTTAAAAATAAGATACAATTCTTGTTACAAGGAATTTACTCTCTTGTCAGGAAGGAGAAAAACATAACAATTCTAATCCAAGGAACTCTGAGATAATTAGAATAAGAAGTGCACACACATAACAATTTAAGAGTAAAGAAAAAAGAGTTAACACCTCTGGTTGGAAAACTGAAGAATGCTTCAACTGAAGAAGTGACCTGTGAACTGGGTCTTAAACACAGTGTATCCTATATAGCAGAAGATTCACATAAAATTCAGAATCTTAGACCAGAAAGTATTGGGAAGATTATTCTAGATCACCTCTAATAAAAATAACTATTCATGAGATAAATGTGTATTAAGAAATTGCTGGATGCTGAGGTTAGATACCTTCATGTCTTTTTATATTTATGTTGGAGGATAAAGTTGTGAGTATATATGGGAGCACAAAAGTAGAACACAAAAGAAAAAAAAAAAAGAGAGAGAGAGACGGAAAAGACTTCCATCTGAAGGAAAGAAATGACCCTAAAAAGTTATTCAAAAACACTGGTAAAAGGTATAAAAGAGAGTCAAGGAGAGTCAGAACAACATTGGTATAAACAAAACATAAACATGAATTGCATACAATTACCATAAGTTAGGATATACAGTGGTTTTCCATTGGTGTCCATAGTGGTTAAACAGGGTGCCTTGGGTGAAATGGTCCCCCATCGCTGTAACGCAGCTTCCAGAGATGGTGGCCAGTTGGTCACCACACCCAGCTGCTCTCCACGCATGGCCAACATCTGGGCTCCCTCTGGCTTTGGTTGGTTCGGATCTGGTTGCTGAACTAATTTGAATATGAAAATGTTTTTTTAAAAAATACATTTATATTATCATAATTACTTTTAGAATTCTTTTAAAAGATGCTAAGAAGTTCATGCTCAAAGACATAAGTCTATTAGCTGACAAAAGGCGTGGGCACAGGCTTTTCCAAAATCAGAATTGTGATCTGTGTTCTAGTCTCATGGATTTAAAAAAGAAGCATTTAATGCTTGATAATTTCCCAGACAATGTCCGGTTGAAGAACTTAGATATAGCTGAATTTACTTACAAACTGGCAACAGGTAAAACTATGCATTTTAACATGTCAGAAATCTAGATTTGAAACCTCTATTTTCAAAATATCAATTATCAACATACATTAATAATTTTGGACTCCAAAGAGTTCAAATTTTGTATATTTTGCCTTTCGATACTAAGGTATAAATTTAAATTTGCTACAACTACTATGAATGGAGCATATTGTCCTGAGTAAAATGGAAATAAGTAATTTTAATAAAATAAAATCTGCTTAATCTTCAGCTTAAATAGGCTAAAAATTGAAATGATTTCTCCCACTTTTGGAAAAAGTTTCTCTCTTATGGTCTACTGTTGACAATTTTCACCTGCGAGTTAGAAAATTAGCCACTTACTTGTGGTATAAAGAATAAGAAAATAAGCAGGATGGGTTTGCTATAACAAGCAGATTTTCTGTTTTGTCTGTTTTAAAAGGTTTGCAAGCATTCATGCTGTAAGACACTGGAATCCTGCTTTGAGAAAGAGTGGTGAGAAAAGGTGAAGATCCACTACACTGTGTTTCACTCTGTATTTCTCTTTCACAAGCTTACTCAGAGAGAACTGTTTTGTTTTGCCCACTAAGGTTTCCATGATTTACTTGCGTTTCTGTAATTTTGCGGCACTCTGGAAAAGAATCCTAGCTCACAGAATAAAATCACATTCTGCTAACATAAAAAACAACAACATTTGGATGTTTATCCAACTGCATCAGTTCCTTTAAAGGGACCATTCAAAGCAGTACCTACATTCTTTTATTGAGAGTCCTGTCATTTATGTGAATGCCAAATTTACCTTAAAAAAACATAATAGCTTTTGGTAGGAAAAAAATATATCATTATAGTTTATGTGATTATAGTAACAGCTGGAAAAAAAAAAAAAGAGGCTAGGGTAAAGGGTTCTTTACCTTCTAACAATTCTTCAAAGTCATCAACAAAGAATTCTCTTAATGGTGGTCGTTTAGGCCTTTTGAGGGTATTGACAAGTTGTTGAATTTTTGCTGATACTCGGCTACTTACTGGTACTCCTGAAAAACAAGAATGACAGGCTAGATGAATGACTTTTAGACATTATCATAGTTTGAACAACAAGGAAAGATGCCGTGAAACTAGAGTTCAATGCCTCACCAACTAGGGTTGTTAAGAGCAAGCTATTATCTTCACTGTTGTATACCACCTAAGATGTCTACATGATGGTTTTTCCTATATGTACATTCCACTGGATAGACAGATGTGTAATACCACACCAAACCAAACCAAACGCACTGCTATGGAGTCAGATTCGACTCACAGTGACTCATTTTTGGGCTTTGAGGCAGTATCACTATGGAAGTAGATTGCCGAACCTTCCTTCCAAGGAGTGGCTGGTGGGTTTGAACTGCCAGCCTTCTGGTGAGCAGTCAAATGCCTTAGGCATTATGCCACCAGAGCTCCCATGTGTAATATAGTGGCCCTATATTAAGCAGTGAAAGAGGACAGAGTTATAGCAGGAATTAATGTATATTATAACTTTGTAAGATGTATTGTTCTATTGGTTTTGTTGGGAAAAGTTTCTGGACCATGTATTGGGCTTATACTCACCTCTAATTTGCAAAACAGAATTTAACATCTACAAAGGGCATTAGGTACCTCTTTCTCAATGGGAGTCAGAGAACTGTTGCAGCAGGAATCTCTTCTCCAAGATCCTATCTGTCTTAAAAGACTAGTGTTCTTCCTCACTGAGGCCAGGAAGATTGTTGAATTGAAGTCATACTCAAGCATTTTGCAAAAGGCAAATGGATATGTTCAGTACCTAGACTACAGTTCACTATTGTACAACTGACTGCTGCCACCCAGACACATCCTGATGAAAGCAAGGGGATCCTCAGTGAAAGGCTGAAGGCTGAAGGCAGTGAACTCAGGATTTACAATCACCATATTAAAAGACCCTTTCCTGTTGCTAATAGAGGTGGTGACATCAATACACATCTTTCAGTGTCCCCCTCACTTAGTGAATATTTAGGCAATACATTCTAGAAGTCCAGCAATTAAAACGTCTTTAAATTCAAATTTCTGTATATCACAGATTACTACCATATATTTCTCCAGGTGTGCTGAGAAAAAATAACCCAATTTTAGAACAAATTTATTACTGGCAGTAATGATTATAGCATTATTTTGAAAATTGTATTTGAATCCACAATTGAAGTTATGACAATTTTAAATTTGAAAATAATAATCCAAGTAAGTGAATAGGAGAGAAGACTATCTTGTTGGCAGTCTTAGGCAGATCAAATCCAACCTCTATGCAGGCAAGCTTTATTTCTGCTGAAAGGCACTGGGAAACATTCACTCAGTAAAAAGGAGGTTTGTACATTTATAGCCCAGTTGGGGTTCATTCCCTTAATAATTTCAGGAGCAGAGTGATCATTCTCCACTGTACTGAACCACAACACAAATTTCAATTTTCGGAACAATTGTGAAGAATTCAAGGATAGCTTTTTATTAAATAAAAATATCTCAGCAGGAGGCCTGAAAATACTTTGTTGGCACTTTCATAATTGAAATATTAAATATTTAAAAATTTTTGAAAATACAGAAAAATACACTCTAGACTTTTTTGATACCTAAACATAATGCTTCCCATTAAATAATCTCACTTTATTTGGACCCAAATGAATCAGAGATCATGCCACAAGTCCAGTAGTTCTCCAACTTAAAAACCAAACCAAACCAAACTCACTGCTGTCGAGTAGGATCCAACTCATAGCTACCCTTCCTTGGGTTTCCAAGGGAGTATCACTATGGAAGTAGACTGCTCAACCTTCCTTCTGAGGAGTGAGTGATGGGGTTGAACCGCCAGCCTTCAGGTTAGCAGTCAAATGCCTTAGGCACTATGCCTTGAGAGCATATCAGAATCATCATCCTAAGACCCACTCCCTCAAAGCTTCAGATTCATTAAGTCCAGGTGGTGGCCCAGAATCTGTATTTTAACAAGAGCCCCAGGTGAATCTGATGCAGGAGGTCTCCACACACTGAGAAACAATGGACTAGATAAGATCTGATTCAGATTTATCTAGGGGAACAGTGGCAAAGGTGATGAATTTCAAAGAGAACAGAGTTAATAAAATGGTAAGAATAGCAATGATGACCAATTTAACAAGTAATGAATTTAGCAGAAGCTCTAAAAACACTGAAAATGAAAAGCATTCAAGGAAAATTAACAATGTTAGAATCGGAGTGATTTCAAATATAACTCAGGGAATGGAGTAACTTTTGGGCTTTGACCATATCTGTCAATTCTCTCCTTTGCATTTAACATCATCTTGCCCTTCTAGGTAATCTTTCCTGGTCTTAATTCTACTTTAATTTCTTAATTGCTGAACCAACATTATTTATTCATTTAAAAGCAAAACTGAACTCAACTGCTGTCGAGTAGACTCCAACTCATAGCAACCTCTCTTGGGTTTCCGAGGAGGTATCTCTATGGAAGTAGATCGCCCAACCTTCCTTTCGAGGAGTGGCTGGTGGGTTTAAATGTCAGCCTTCTGGTTAGCTGACAAATGCCTTAGGCACTATACCACCAGAGCTCCCATTGTTGTTGCTGTTGTTATGTGCCTTAAAGTCAGACCTGACTCATAGCGACCCCTCCTTGGGTTTCCGAGGCAGTATCTACGGAAGTAGATTGCCCAACCTTCTTTCTGAGGAGTGGCTGGTGGGTTTGAACCATCAGGCTTCTGGTTAGCAGTCAAGTGTCTTAGGCACTTTGCTACCAGAGCTCCCAGAGCTCCCATTAGGAAAAAAAAATCCGAATCTCATAAAAATTATTATTCTCATGGCTACATTTCTACACCATTAACATTTTTCCCACAAAGAATAACTCTTCATCGGCTTGGAGACAATTTGCATTTCTTGTGATTATGCCACCTTATACAAGAGGTTCATAAAGTTTGTGAGTCTTTAGTACATCTATGAGAAATACAACCAACTGTAAAGGGTAAAGATTTCAAAGAAGGAAGATTATTTGCTCTGAGACCTACCGTCCCCAGTCTCCATGAGTTCGGCGTTGCCATACTTTGGTGCTGTTCTTGATGTTGTTGAGCCTTGTGGTCTTTCCACTTGTATTGAATGTTCTGAGGTGTAAGTGGTTACATCAGGAGGTGCAGAATGATTTTCTGTAAAGAAGCAAATAATGCTGTTTTTTGGTAACCATGATAGAGGTGTTCTGAAGGTTAAGTAGATGATAGAAGATCAAAACTTTTATCTAACAAAAAAATTTCCACATAAATAAACACCTATTCTTTTGCATAAAGAATACTCTGAATCAAAATCTATTATAAAAATCTCAGTGCAAAGATGAATTATAATACAGTCTTTAAGGTAATTTATACTGCTCAGAATGGAACACTTAAGTAAAGTTGCAGACAGGAGTCACATCAATGAATCACTATAGCATTCTGACTAAACTGATGTTCTGAAGTGACCAATAGAGAGAGAAATACTGTGAGTTATGTGTTTGTTCATGGAAGAGTAATTTATATTGTGTATTACACTAGAGGCAGTTAAGAGCTCAGGCTTTGGAGCCAGAGAGGCTGAACTACGAGTCTCAGGATCTGCAAATTCCTAGAGATCTTGAGAAACTTTTGCCTCAGTTTCCTCATCCATAAAATAAGAGTAATAGCTACTACCTTCTAGCATTGCCTGGAGGTTAAAATAAGTTAACACAATCAAATTTCTTAGGCCATTTCTGAACACAGGATAAGCATTCAAGAAATACTAGCTACTTTATTATTTGTTTTAGCATGAATTGATAATGTCTCTCTGGCATGCTACCCTTAGCATTTATCCTTAAGGATAAATTCCTTAAGGATGGCATGCCAAAGAGACACTATCAATGGCGTTTTTTATGTCTTAAATGGGTACCACACAAGTAATTTTCAAGAACACCTTCCCTTGCAAGTTCAATGAGATATAATTTTATTATTTTGTGTTGTTAAAAGTGCCCACTTCCTAATGTTTCAAACCTTCCTAAGTTAATAAATCAGATCCATTGTTCTCCTGCTCCCACTCTCTTAAAGCTATCTCAGTCCTCAGCTCCCCATCCCTTAAATCCCACAAGAATGCAAGTTAAGGTCCAAATTGACTTTCCTTCTTTATAATTCTAAGGCTTCACTGCAAAAACTTCAATTTGTTCTCCCCTTCACTTCACTTCCCTTTTTAATTCCCAATCCCTAAATTCACTATTTTCCTAACAGAGGTACCTGCAACTCAAGTGGAAAAGAAATTATAATAGCTCCCAAAATACATAGAGAGAAGTGAATTTGCATGTATTATACAATCTTACATGAAATGAAATTTAGGCTTGGGGAGGTATTAATCTACACTCCTAGGTTAGGCAAGTTTCAAATGTAGTAACCTAGAGTGACTAATTATCCCAGCGCACCTGGGACTATCCCAGGAAGCCCCTCAATCCTAGGCAAACTATCCAGTATCTGTAAGGCAATCTGCCTTGCTCTACCACTTACCAGCTAAGACACTTTTCACAAGTTACCTAAGCTGTCTGTCCTTCACTTTTCTTTTCAGTAGACAAAATAGAGACAAAAATAATACTTATTTTATAGGTTATAACAAGAAAGAAATTAATACACACAAACACTCAAATTTTCCACATATTATGGGCACAAATATTTGCTGAATGAAGCAATTCTAAATGCTAACATACTATTAAATAGATGCAACTCTGAGCAGCATCCCAATAACAAGCATCAGTCCCCTAAATATAGACTGTTCAGCAGAAAGCTGAGTTTCCCACTTCTCGTCTTCCTTTCCTGAGAGTTATCGTTGTTGTTGTCCTGTGCTGTCCGAGTTGGACCCAACTTATAGTGACCCCTCCCTTGGGTTCCTGAGGCAGTAACACTATGGAAGTAGATTGCCCCATCTTCCTTCCAAGGCGTCCTGAGAGAACTCATCTTTAAAAGCAATCTGATGTCTTTGGCCCAAAAAAGGAGAGAGTGTTGTGAGAGGGATGAAGAGAGGAGTTGGGAAAAGAAATTTAAGTGGACCCATGAGTATCAAGAGGAGGAAGGAGGATAAAGGGCAAGATGCGTATAATTAAGGTGAAGTGTAAGACAGAAAGACAAGAATAATACAAATGGCTTCTTTAATGTTTTAGACAGTACAGTCCCTCCTCTCCTCACCCTTCTCTGTCATTTTGCCACATAACTTCATTTTATGTAAATGTGTAATTCTCTGAAACTCCATCCTCCTTGGTTATGTGTACTGCTATACACCCACTGGGACAGATATTTCAAATGCAAAAACAATAGCCGCTAAAGTAGGATGAACAAAATTTTCAAGTCAGCCACCTAAAACAAAAGCAGCTACAATGTGAGTTCTTGCATTTCACTTTTATTCACAATTAATTAAGTGTTTCAGTTACACAGTAGTTGCATCACAGATGATATCCAATCAGTTTTTGTGTTGGGTGGCAAAACTACAGCAGTGTTTCTACTTTGACGCTGGGCAAAAATAATGACTCCAATGCATCTGGTGATTAAAAAATAGGAACAGTGACAGCTGGGTGACTTCAAAGTGTTTTCCAAGTTTATTTATGTCACATTCCCTCCCTCTTCTTTTCAAACTCCTTGCATATGCCATCACAGTAGGGTCATAAACCCAGCAGCTGGCTTCTGTTAGGAAGCCAGGGAAAATTCTGTCACTGTAGTGATATGTCTTGCCCTATTTTGGTAAAATTCAGGACTCCAAGTACTGAAAGAAGTTACCTATCTTTTCAAAAATATTTAAAAGAGTCTCATGCGTAATAGAGGCATAAGAAATACCTGTTGAAGATATGAAAAAGTTGAGTCTGGTTGAAGGTATAAGTTCAGAGGTTTATTACACTCTCCAGCATCAGACATGATGCCAAAAAGTCCACAGGCATCAGGAACATTCTGAATATTAAGAACTCTCATCATCGCAAATTTGTATCTTCCTAGCAAGATTGCCCACTGTTTATAGATTAATTTCCCAGTACTTTTTTTAAGAGAAAAATGATTGCCAACCTTCAAGCCACATGCCATGTGTCATCTTCACTCTGAAGGCTTTCCTCAACTCTCCTTCACCAGCACAGCTCTATGCTATCTAACTCCTTTCTACTGCTTCCCTGACTAGTCCATGATCTTCTCCAATGACTGAGCTCTGTCTCATCTCTTCTTGTATCACTATTGCTCTCAGCAGTAGACATGGGTTCCATAAAAATATAGAATTCAAGATACTCACAAAAGGTGGGTTAGAGGACAATATAATTAAACTATCTTTTACAAGAATATCTGCTAGTTGTTTTGAGTCTAATCTCACCAGGGATTCCTATATCATTCTTTGACATCCTCCTGCTAACTCGTAGGTTTTTAACTGTGCCAACATGATCTATCCCATTTTTTACAGCTATATCCTGGCCATAACGAATTTCAGGGTCAACTCACTCTCACTGCCATCAAATTGGTCCTGACTCATAGCGACCTCTCCTTGGGTTTCCAAGGCAGTATCACTACGGAAGTAGATTGCCCAGTCTTCCATCTGAGAAGTGGCTGGTGAGTTTGAATTGCCAGCCTTCTGGTTAGCATCCAAATGCCTTAGGCACTGCACCACCAGAGCTCCCAATTTCAGGGTACTGGCTGGTTTTCCTGTTGAACTCTGCCTTAATAATTCTATATGCTTCCTTGATTTCATTCATTTCTAATCTCTTGTGTTTACAACTCTCTAGCTTGATCTGACACCCTGTTGGGTATGGTTATATAATATCTTACTATTATGCTGAAAAAGGTCCTGAGTGGCACAAATAGTTTTCACTTGGCAACTGCCCAAAAGGTTGGTGGTTCAAAGCCATCCAGCAATGCTGTGGTAGAAAGGTTTGACAATATGCTTCCATAATGATTACAGCCAAGAAAACCCCATGGAACAGTTCTACTCTGTAATACATGGGGTCGCCATGAGTTGGAATCTACTTGACGGCAACAGCTATTTTTTATGCTAAACCTACACTACCACCCAGCCCACTGTATGGCATATTATATATGCTCAACAAATGTTGAACCAATAGTTGAAAGAATGAATGAATACATGAATGAATAAGTTAATGACAAGTAGTGATAAAATGCCTCTGGTTGTAATGTTGGCTGATATTAACTATAGAACATTTTAACTATAGAACCAGGAGTTTCAATGTTTCAATGCTGATTGGTCCTACTTTTAAGTCATGTTAATTATTCTTTCAGTCCCCAAACCACTTCCAAATGAAAAGAAGAAAAATGGAATACCTGGTTTTAATATGTAGAAAGCAATGTGCTTGTAATTTATTAACTGACAATGGATGAATTGTCAGTTAATGAATAAAACACTCCAAGGAACTTTCAGTTGACTAATTTGAATTTCCTAACCTTTCATACATTTAAAACTGTCCAACCCCTAGTTTTCTGTACTTAGTTTGATAGCAATTATTCACTGAGAAGAAAAAACAAAATATAGGCCCACCTGAATGGAATGCCTATGACATATGCCAATCAGACTACCCTGTTTGCCTAGCTGCTCCAGTTTCCTGACAAATGACATGATTGTGTGCTCTAGACATAATGTCAAACCAGGTATCTTGATGAGAATGTGGAGACTAACAAAGTAGAGAGGTAGGATTTGACTGATTGCTAGATTCATATGGCTTAGGTGTCTAATCTGCAATAACTTCTCTCCATAGGTTCAACTTTCGCTAAATGGGGAGGCTGCAAAATCCCTACAAAACTCAGACCTGTGTCATTCATCAAAATTACAACAGCACAGGATGGTTAAACATGGTTTCTGTCAAACAAAAATCCCCAAAATACAACCATAGTATTTTGATGTATAATCTAGATGAAAGAGACCTCATAGAAGAAGGAATTTGGAAAGAGCCATCACTTGTAGAAGTGAAAGAGAAGCCACTTGTGTGTGAACACGTATGTAGATAGCAAATTGCTTATGCCTGGTTTTGCTGCTAGAGACCCAGATGGCTCAAATACTCATTGTGCTACTTCCTCCTTCCATACGTAACTAATCAGAAGAAAAGACATTGGACTTTCCTCCTTAGTTTCACTACCCAAAAAACCAAACTCACTGTCGTTGAGTTGGTCCAGCCTCATGGTGACCC